AAAGTTTTCCCTGGTGACCACATCCTAATCAAGACCTGGAAAGAGGGTGGACCCCAGGACGAACTCTCACCCAAATGGAAGAGCCCCTTCATAGCCCTACTAATCAATCCCTCTGCCATTAAGGTATTGGGAATAGATAGCTGGATTCATTTATCCAGGGTAAAGCCCAAGCTGCCTGAGACATGGAAGACAAAGAAGAGGGACCATGAACTTTGTACACCTGTGAACCAATACATGATTTCAAGTTTCTTTTCAGAAAAGAAAATGCCCACTACTCTGGTGACCCAGATAAGTAAAATGGTTTGCTCCCTCTAAGTAAATTGTGTGAATAGTCTCACTACTGTCTTGTTTACTACACTTAAGGTCTTTGTGTTTTAGAAACTCCTAGCTTTTGAATCTCCTAAAAATGGGTATCTCCTTTCTTGAGAAACCTTTAGAAAGATTTTCAGAGGGGGCTCCTGGTCCCCTGTGGTTAACTATAGGGATTGTAAAGTTTGAACTGGACAGGACTGTCCCCGCACCCAACTTGCTTGCCAGCAGAGGCATTATTCTCAGCAGAGACTAAAGGATATAAGATAGGGCATGGAATCTTGCAGTCCCTGGACATCTGGAGACACCTGAAAATTTACACTGGATGCCCCAAGGACTTTGCCCACTGTGGTGCAAGACAGCCAGAGAACTTTAGCCACTGATGTTTACTAATATCTTCCTGCCTAATGTCTCTTGCCTTCTTTCAATCCTTACAAAAGGGATCCACTTCTCTTTGTTCCCTGCAGATGACCTTGTCACCCTCTGTTTGCCTGCACCCAGATACTAAATCATAGCCTTGTTCCTTTCATAAAAGCCTGATAAGTGGCCTCTACCTCATCGTTCCTTGCAATGATCCCTCTATTCTATGCTTTGCAAACCAAAGCCTGACACTTAAAATAAGGGTAAACTGGTAGCCAAGAGCAGAGAGGAATGCTCACCCTACTGCTGGGAGAAATAAATGTTAAGTTCTTCATACTTAGTTTGTGCCTTAAACTGAACCACACTATATAATGGGTTGTAAGATAGAGTGCTTTATAGTGATCCTCTGAATGGTCTTAGCTTTAATGTGTTAGTTTTCCCCTAGAAAATTCACCCATAATCTTGGCCTCTTAATCACACAGCAACTTGAATTCCACTCTGATATAAGCACTGTGCATTTCCGATTTGTGGAATTGTTTTCCTTTAATTAAATGAAGGGAGGAAGTGTAGTTATTTCCAACTCTGCACAAATTACTACCCAGTGGAAACCGAATAATGTATTGTAAGTAGTACTTATTCTATTTATCGTACCATCTATTGATGTGTGTTGGACTTGTTCTATTTTGGAGGCACTACCATGGTAACTGGGCTCCTGACAAAGGCCTGTGTCAGAGCAGAACTTGAACATGCAGAACTTCAGATAAGTGGCAAAATAAAGAATCAACCTCAGCAGGCTCAGAAAGAACACTCTGGGGGATCATGCTTTACTCCTGGATATATTTCTCCATGAAGTTGGAAAGTCCTGAGAGGCAGTTCATGGGATTTACTGCACGCAGCACTGGCCCTCATCAAAGGGATAGAATAAAGTCTACAGTTCCCCTGGCCAACATCTGTGGCTCTGTCTCTTATTGTGTTTTGGCTTTTGGGTCAAGCTCACAGCTTTAGGTGAAAAATACAAGCTGGTTTTTGGTCTTCAGAGAGCAAGGGTGACTAGATGACTGCTCTGAGTCTATGGATGTAAGACACAGCCCTGCCTCTGCCCTCAACCTGGCTGAGTAGCTTACTTAGCATGGGATTCTATTTCCCAGCTATGAACATGGATGCTGTTGGACACCCTGAGTACTAACCTTGTGCTCTTCATGAAATTAGTGCCACAGGAAAACAAGGAGGGGCTGTGGCTGACTCACTTTTTTCTTTTAGTTTTTTAAAATTTTATGAAAGAATAAAACAAAAGTTCATAACAAAAATTAAGATAGTAGAAATAGTCAATACATTGTGTATCATTATTTTCAAAATAGTTACTCAGAGTGTAAGATCCAGATCAAGAAGATCTTTACAAAGAAGAAACAAATAGACAAAAACACAAAATGTTCTTTTCAATGAACTAAGTTAAAATAGTAGTGTAAATGAAAAAGTTAGCATAGATGAATAAATATTTTTGAAACAATGAAATGCGCAATTTGGGGAAGTGTTTGAATTTCTCCCTACTTCTTGTTTATCTCTCCTTTTCTCTTTGCTTGTACAGTAAGTTCCCAACTTATGAACATTAGAGCTGCAAACTTTCACAGATAGGAATGGACCTCACATAACAAATATTTGTAGATGCAAAGAAGTTTCAGAAGTAGCTCATTGTGTTTATTTAGAGTGTGTGTGTGTGTGTGTGTGTGTGTGTGTGTGTGTGTGTTTGGTTTTCTATGCTTTACATTATATATTTCTGTCAAAGGTATAAGACTCACTCTGTCAGACTTATGAATGAACCCAACTTAGGAACATTCATAAGTGGGGGACTTACTATATACATACAGAGTCCTCCAAAAATATACATACACTTCAGGAAAAGAAAAAACTTGTACAAATATTTTAACTATAAATTTATTGAGATATCATGAGATTTATACAAGTTGCCTTTGGTCTCTATAATTACAAGAGGTTCTCAAAGCAGTGGCCATTGACTTCTAGACATTTACTAGTACAGCAAACTGCTGCTTGGATAAACTTGGTCAATGAGATTGCTACACATGCATTTTCAATTTCTTTTCTAAAAGCTGGCAGTGTAGTGGGTTTTCTGAGATATATGATACCCTCTAGGGTCCCCCATGTGAGGGTAACATCATCTGTTGAAGAAACATTATACTATTTTTCTTTTACTGAACTATATACATTTTGGGGCACATGCTCTTTCTCCTTCTCTCTCTCGTATATATATGTACATGTCACTTATATATATGTATATATATATATCCATGTGATATTTAAGCTTGTGTGTCTGACTTATTTCACTTAACATTATGTTCTCAAGTTGCATTCATTTACCTATGAATGCCTGAAGTATATCCTTTTTGATGGCAGCATAGCACTTTACTGTGTGTAAATATTGAATTTTCCTTATCATCTAATCATCATTAATGGACATTTAGGCTGCTTCCAAGATCCAGCTACCATGAATTGTGCTGTTGTAAACAGGGGCATGCATGTCTCCCTGAACTATGACACTTTCTCACTCCTCTCTGCAGAACTAGCAGACCACAGTGGTCCTCCGGACAATTAATAGCTGAGCTCTGTTACCTTCCAAGGGCTCTTGTCTGTGCTGGATGAGGACACTAGAGAGATCAGAGAAACAGAAGTCTTTTTCCCTTAGGATTTCCCTTTGAATTTTGCTGAGAAACATCCTCACTGCTTCGACTCCATGGCTCACTTCCGGAGAGTCACCAACAGACACCAGTAGTGAGCAGCTCTGCTCTGCTTTCTTGAGCTCTCCCCCTCCTTTGTTCTGTTTCTTTACATTCCTCAGCCCATCAGATCAGACTAGCTTAGTCTGTGAGTCAGGCCCAGAAGCAGTCCCTGTAACCCCACTGTAAACCAGATCCTGAATTTCAGAGCCAGGGTAAGGATCACTCTTCTCCTCCTCCTCCAGAGGACTTGTAGCTATTGCATCTGGCTTCAACTGCTCATCTTGAATTCCATTTAGAAGTGAGAAGGTCGCCAGCTCTCAGGAGCCTCCTCAGAGGGTCTGGAGAGGATTACCTGGGCAGGTTCTGAGGCAAGCCCGGGTTCCAGAGGGCACTGATGGGGAACTGTGTATTATCTTGCAAAACTCCTCGCTCAAGGAAGAGGAAATCAAGGCACAGACAGGCAGAACAGGAAAATGGAAGAGTTTCTCTGTTTATTGGAAAAATGGTCTCCTATGTGGCTGAAATAAAAGTTGGAAGATTATCTAGGAATCACAGCCTTTCACCCATCATTTCTTACACCAAATGCTTGACAGGTGGCTGGGAACCAAGGGCAGGTTCAGTGCTCCTCCTTTTTCAAACGTGCCGTAGCAATCCCTCCCTCTCCTGACCTTGACACCCACCCTTCCTCCAGAGACATTTCAGTCTCTGCACCCTTAACCTTTAACCAGAATGCTCCACCATTTGTCTCAAAGGCTCCTAAAGTTGGGGGGTCTCCAGGTGAGAAGGAACAGATGAGAAGCCTGGATTCTTAGCAAAGGCACTCTCTTTAACACTTTAACTGTTTTTGTTTTATTGATGATGGAAATCCCACCTCTCTGTTTGATGCCCCTGCCATAAACTACAGAAACACTGCTTTCCTGCTCAGCAGCTCTCTCTCGTGGGATCCTAGTATTTCCACTTCCAGGAAGCAGTGATCAGCTAGTTCTCACCTCCTTCCTCATTTCATCAATTCTTCCTCCTGCTTTCAAATATTCCCTCGGTCGGTAACACATTCGTGGGGTGCCGGGTGCAGGGTGGAGAGCTGGGAGAATAGGCGTGGGGTTATGGCACAGCTAAGGAGTCTTTGGTTAAAATGCAAATTAAGATGTCCAGTGACCGGAATCTTTTTGTTTTTTTCCAGAGAACTGAGTTCGTGACTTGGAAAAAATAAAAAAGGAGTGTGTGAATGTCCACATGTGGGATGAATATGTGTGCAGGCGAGAGAGGGCAGCGCGGGGGAGTAGGGAAGGCCGGACCATGCCTAACATTAAAGGCTGGAGGAGACCAAGAAGGGGCTCTGTATTTTTAGGGGTGACAGAACACTTCCGGCCAGTGAAGCCTTGAGATGTTAATTATAGGACCTGTGGATGTCAGCAGAGATCCTTTAAAAGAATAACTTATGTGCCTAAAATCTCCCCAAGAACACAGAGCCCGTTTTAGAAATGTCCGTCAAAGACAACAAAAGTGAAATGCGCAAATGCCTTCTACGCAAGGCGGTGCTGGGCAACCAGCCGCATCTCCCCCCACGCGGTTGCTAGGAGACCGCGGGCCACACTGCCATCATCTCCATACTTGCTGCGAGGTTGAGTAATTGGTGTCTGGATGTGCGTGTGCTGCTTCCCAAAATATCTCTTTAAAAAGACGTGAGAGGGATGCGGAGCAAGTAGGTAGGAGGATGAAGGGGGCTGTGTCCCTTGAGGGCAATGGGCTTCCAGAATCAGGAGAAGCTGAGGAAGTGGTGGGGACCCACCCCAGGGATAGAAATGCAGAGCCGCCTTTCCCGAATCTTTCCCTTGCCCCACTTTATCATTTGGGGCTCATTTCCCCACCGCAATGTGAACAGTGGCAGGGCCAACCTAAATTAAAGGAGCCATGTAGTTTGTTTTTTCTTTTTTACTGTTGAGCCACAATAAAGCTGAGACAGAATCTAATTGTAATTTTAATCTTGCAGATATTTAAAATGTAAATATGCCTTTAAGAGTACTTAATTATATGTGTTGAAGTCTGTTTTTTGGAAGAAGTAGACAGGAAATAATGCATGTGGCCACACATATTTAAGTGCACACGCACACACACATACACGTGCCCCCATGATGAAAATGTTTGCTTTAGCTACTGCAGAGAGTCAATAAAATAGGAAAGTAGGGCTCACATTTGTCGGGTCTTTGGAAGTTAGGAGACTAAAGGTGAAACTTAGCCCTGCCTCCAAACTATGTAAATCCTCAGGGCCCTTCTGTGTCACCTGACGGGGTTAAGCTAGAACCTCCCCAGAGTCTGCTCCAAATCTCCAGCTTTCTTGGAATCTGACATCTAATCCATCTCCTCTTCACAGCCAAGAGAACTTGCCATCATCCTTTCCTCTCAGGTGTGTTTCATCTGCTCTTCTGATTTGTAAGAAAAATTCAATTGATTATTACATTGGACATTTTGAAATATCTATTCAAGTACCTATTGCTGGAAAACTTGAATAGTAGTTGGGAAGTGGAATAACTAACTTTTAAATTTTATTACTTTCCTTTGTGTCACTTGCCATATATTTACAATGTTCAAAAATCCATTTTTTTTTTTTTTTTATTGCAGCACTTGTTTTTTAAAGAGAGGGAGCTGGAAAGAGACAAAGTATGCAGGATATATAGACATTATATTCTGATACTATAAATATAAGACAGCTAAGAATCTGAAAAATTTTCCTCACAGTCACTGGTCAGATGGTTGTATGTTCTAGAACTCTATCAGGAATTAGGAAATTTGAATTTTAGTCCTAACTCTATCACTAACTTGGGGACAATGACCTTATCTGCAAAAGGAAGAGAGGTGGGTGCCCTATCTGTGCAGTATTCCTATAGGGATGTTAGGAAGGAAAATGCCACAACACAGTGTATGTAAATGCACTTTGGAATGTAGAAAGAGTGTACAGAATGTACTGCATTCTTTTCAATGCATGACTGAGAAATTTATTCATTTATTCAGCAAGTGTATTTTGAGCTGCTGCTACCGCCAGCCCCTCATTAAGCACTCATTCACATGGCGCACACACATGGTCAGTGTCCTTCATCATTTGTCCTGTGTCCTCAGTTCTGGAGACAATGACCCCCTAGTAACACACAAAACAGTCCTCAGCCACTATCATCTCTAAATGCTACACTTTCTACTAGGCTGAAACTCATCTATGTGAAGAGTGCTCTCAAATCACTCCCACGAGTGTCTGACTTATTTTGTTCTTAAACACTCCCAGTGACACAACCCTCAGACACTGTACTTCCTGTGCTAATGAATGCCAGCTTCTAATCATTGTGCAAGCAGATGTTCCTTAGGAAAAACAAATAAAATTAAGGCTATCTTTAGGTTAGCAGCACTCCCTACCCCCACCCTTGGCTGACCAGGCAAATAAGCAACCTATTTTCCTTCTCTCATCAGGGAAGGCAAAGCTAGGTGTCCCATGGAAAAACAATACTTCTTTTTTGCTTATTTTTCACTGTAAGAAGGGAAATTTTGAATGGACCTAGGATCCAAGGTCTCTAAACAGCCTGTTCACTGGATTGAAATTATTGATAGACAGTTTTCATGAAGAAAAGGAGATATACCTTTTAACTTCTCTGATCTCTTAAACATTTATTTTCCACTGGTGCCAAGAATAGAGTGAAGCCTGGAGAATAAGCTTATGTGCCTAAGAGTAACCAGGGAGCTGTGGGCTGGGCAGTAGCTTTACCAGGCAGAGCATGGTTCCTTGCCCTTTCTTCTGGGTATTTGGCAAGCACTCCGGAGTTTTCAGTAGAGGGATGGATGTGGGAGGAAGAGCACAAGGGAGTCATAAAAGGATGCCAAGTCATAATGAATAAGAGTTATTTTGTACACTCCCAGGAGATCCGAGCTCATGGGCAGTAGTTCCAAGGGGGCAGCAGATGTTGGTTCAGCACCAGGAAGTCCTTACTAAGGATACTTTGTAAAATGCAAATGAACTGGAGGTGGTTGTGGGAGAGGTGCTCAGATACAATTCCTCATCCTTAGGGATGGACCCCCAGCACAACTAAGCACAGATTTGCCTTTGCTGCCCATCCAGCCTTAGGAATTTATAATGTTATGGGAGACCCTAGGGTCATTCCAATCCATAGCCACCACTTCTACCTCTGGCCACCGAGCTTTATTAAACCTCAAACCAGAAAAGCCACTATCTATCTTCTCCAAAACTAGAGAAATATTAAGTAACTACAAAGTACTTTTTGAAAGTCCCCTGAAGAAGAACCCCTTGCTGAAGCTGAATGGAACAGAATAGTCATCATCTCAAAGATGCCATAGGATTATTTTTGTTCTTTTTCATTTGGCCATAATTGCTTCATTTCCATTAATTATAAAGGAAGGCATTCTCCAAGGGAACTTTAATCTCTTGATTCTAAAGACAACATTCTTTGTAAAGGGGAAAAGATTATTGTAACTCAACTGCTCACTTGAAAATAAAACTTCCTATTTTCACTCATAGCAGCCTTGTTTCTTCTGGAGATCAGTCTGAAATTCCCAAACTGAGTCAGAAAGAAAAACTACTCTGTTTACAGGTGGGAGCATTGAAGTCATCTATACAGACAACTTGCTTTATAAGCATGGGTTAGCTCATTTGATTCTGGAGAAAAGAACTTCTGTTATGTGGTTCAAAAATGAAACATCTAAGGTTTAAGAGTTAGAATAACTGTTATGAGGCCACATCCCCTGATTCTAAACATGAAACATCAGTATACTATGACTACTCTCCTACTTACATGACTTCTTAGCTTTCCTGTCACTAGGACAAAATACCCAACACCGACAATTTAAGAGAAGGTAGACTTATTTTGGCTCACAGTTTCACTCTATGGTCAGCTGGTCCTAAGGCAGAAATAGCACGGCAGAAGCCCACCTCCCACCCCTGGCAGCCAGAAAGCAGAGACAGAAGAGAAGAGCCAGGAACAAAAATAAACACTTCCAGATCACACCCACTGGCCTATCTCCTAACAGCAAGGAAGCTATGAACTCATCAGTAGACTAATCCACTGATAAGCATAGTGCCTCCATGATCCAATCTATCTTCCAAACACCTGAAACCTTTGGGCATACTTTAGATCTAAACCCTAGCAGTGACTTCTATTTCAAGCTCCTTGATATTCATCCTTCCATTCACTCATTCAGAAGCATTGAGCATCACCTGTGTGTCAGGAGCCATCCAACTAGATGTTGAAATATCAATGTCTGCATAAAATTTATGTTCTAGTTGTAGGTAATAGCCAATAAAAATTAATAAGTAAAAAATGTACTATCGATTTGCAAATGAATGCAAATGGGTAGAAAGCACCCATAGCAAACCTCATGGTTTAATCATGGATTAGTGTGATTTGGGGCAGGCAGGATCAGTGACTGGTGTGTATTTCCTGTTGCTCAGGACTGTCTGGGATTACTCACAGGCATTTTGTAGGACTACACCTAGAGTCTTGAAGATGGTCCCTTTTCTTGGGACAGTGGGACCTTAAGTGCCATGATTAAGGAAGTACTGAGCTCTGCAGTGAACAGGGGCTGGGTTTTAGTAGCAGTGTGGCAGAAGTTTGAGGCTAGACATATTCTGCAGTCACAATGGCAGGCTGGGTGCAAGCACTGTATGATGCACCAAGTAAGAGCAGGATGAACATCATCAGAATTCGTCGCTCGGAAACTTCCAGCCCTTTAGTTCCTTTGCTCCATTCAGATGGAAATCATGAACTGTCAAAATGTAGCTCTGCCAGCAGTCCTGATGTCACTGGATGACACTGAATAATGGCAGATACCAAAAGCTGACACAGCCAGTTGCTAGTGATACCACTACCAGCTGACCTATTCTGGTGCTGACTTGTGCCAGACACCACAGGTCTCTGTACTGGGGCTGCTCTCTGCTGCTAATCTTCATTGGCTGCTGGACTCTGGAGCTCTTCAGTGCTAACAGCCCTTAGTATTTATAGCTCTTTCCTTTGAAATGACCACTTTGTCCAAAATACTCAGGATAAGACTACTGAGTAGATTTATAAGACCTTTGAAACACACACTAACTGAGAAATAAATCACAAGCAGGTTTAGAGGACCACCAAAGTGAGCCTTTAAAAGGACCTATCCTTCAGCACAGGGGGTCAGTAAAAGGAGGGAATCCTCCTAGACTACTGGAGCTAGGGGACGCTACTTATATAACAAGTACAAACCTGTGATTGGTCCAAGTATGGATCTGTGATTGGCGCAGGGCTGCAGGGCAGCTTCAGCTGTCATGGCAGTGAGATAGTGATGGGGCAGGGCTGAAACCAGAGAATCTCCTGGAAGGTTAACTGTGGGGGTTGTGGATGTTAACCGTGGGCTGAGACCACTCCCTCCCTGATCTTGGCCACAACCACGTGCATCCTCCTTTCCTGCAAAAGGCAAAAGTAACATCTGAAGTGGCAAGGGTGGGGGAGGGGCACTGGCACTGACAATAGAGCAGTACTCACATTGGAGTGGAATTGAAGAGGGTGGTTACTAGCTATTTAGGGAGGACATTGAAGCAAGTTGTCCCATTCCATGGGGGGATTAAGAGGGCGCATAAGGAAATGAGGGCCATAATGACTACAGGCCAAGCCCAGCCCTTTCTCTGTTCAGCTCAGTGGGTGGGTGGGATGGGAAAGCCTATTTTGGTTTTCAGGGAGATTTGCAGGCAGTTTCTTCTCTGAGAGAATATGTGGTTCACTACTCAACTCCTAGTTTCCTGCTCCTTACTCATTCTTAAACTGAAATGTTAGATCCTTATGTGTCTGCCTTGCCCACTCTCTGCTGAAGGCCTAGGTTCAGTATGATGCATTCTTGTTGGGATGGTTAGAATTGTGAGGCCAAGCACTATCATCACATACCACAATAATTCTCTACCTCAACTTCACATTAGAAATACCTAAAGATATTAGAAAAAAGAAAAACCTATATCTTGGCGCACCTCAGACAAATTCTGTCTATTTCTTTCAAACTATTTCTTTCAGGATAAATCTTTGTCCTCTGTACCTTTCAAACTTCTCTGAGAGATTTTCACTCACAGTGAAAGCTAAAAGAACTTTTCTGTTATTCATTTTGTCAGGAAAACAAGATTATGTGAAGGAATCCTTGCTTTGAACTAAGGAAGAAAGTTGAGATTTCTGAAGAAGATGGAAGTCTGAATAGGTATGCAAGGCTTCCTATCTTGCTCTGAACACATACAATTGTATGACCCAAAAAACACAAATATTTCAAAAAAGAAAAATCGTCATGTGCAAAATGAAAATAAAACCCAAATTAAGGTTTTGAAGGTTAATTCTTGTGATTCCATGGGATATGAAGAATGGGTTATATGCAGTTTTATGGCTGGTATCTTTATACCTAGTAGATTAGGTGTCTCAACTTAGATCTTCATATAGAGCCAAGGTAACAACTACATTTACCTTCTTAGGAACCTAGGTATGAAGGAAAATTGTCTCCTCAGGAAGTGGGTAGAAATACAGTTACCCTCAAGGGTCCAGACCTATGGTTCAATAGCTTTTACATTTACCAGTATGAGCAGGGAAACACCTTGGCTTAGATGGGTGCTGCAGTCTGGGGTTTACACTCAGAGGCGCTTCTGGAGCAAAGGAGCATCTCACAAATTCACAGCCTATAAAACTGGATGGAGGTGACCAGGACTTGGTGGATCCCAAGATTGCAGGTCCTGGAAGGAAACCATTCACCTGGAAATAGGAATTTTTTGGATCCGTTTTCCCCCTTTAGGTGTCTGGAGAGGGTTTTTTTTCCCCTTTTTTACTGTGTTTTTGTTTTTTCCTCTCTGTTAATTTTTCCTTTATATTTTCTGTTTTTTTTTTCTTATTGTTCTTTTCTGTTACTTTTATTTAATACTAGTAATTTCCTTATACTCTTTGCTAGGATCCCTTATTTCATTTTCTCACCTCCTTCTCATCATTTACTGCTTAATTTTTGGAATTTTACTTTTTACATGCTCTTATTCCCCACACCTTCTATCTTTACTAGTTATAACCATTAAACTTTATGAATCTTTAGATTGCTAATTAGCTATGTTCTATTGCTATTGAATACTATTCTATTGTTAGTGGAGACAAAGTCATTTCATTCAGGAGATATTTACTGTAGGTCAATATTTGGTTTGTCTTAGGGTTTTTATAGGAATATATATGAGTATAAAATCATAGGTCTGTTTTCTGTGATTAATAGTGATATATTCTTGGTTCTTAGAGTTTACCAATATCCAGTTTGTCATTGATGCTACTATTGTTGCTGATTTTATTATTAAAGCCAAGGTGACATAGTTGTTGCTATCAACTAGTTTTCTCTGTATGCTAGTATCTGGATTGCCTTTGTGTCCTAACAATATTGCAGCCCATTCCCAGAGAACAGGGTACTGAATCAAATTCATTACAGCCTTTTCTCCAATAAACAGAGGTGGGGGGAATCCTGAGACAGAGGCAAAATCCTATAGTTAGCTATGCTCAGAGTGCAACACCCAAAAGCAGACACTAAAAATACAGATCCCCTGGAAACAAAGTCTTCCACTATAATCATTCTATGGTCTCAGTACAGAAAACAAACAAAAAACTAGAAACAAGAGAAGACAAGGAAACAAAATACTTACAAAAATTCCAAACTGCTCCATAGCTGACCTATAAGACATTGAGTGGGAGGAAATCAAAAGCCACACAATTAAATTATTTGAAAGGATAACAGAGTAGATAAAAATGAATCACTAAAGTGCTTGACAAGTTCAAGCAAGATATAACTAAACACAAAATGATCCTAATAAACAAAACAGTCAGTGAATCTACAGAAATTTGGGAGATTAAAAATTTCATTGAAAGTTTGGACAGCAGAAACAAACAATGTAATAATAGAGTATCAGAACTAGAAGATAGAGGGACTGGGGATTTAGCTCAGTGGCACAGTGCCTGCCTGGCAAGCTCAACGTTGTGATTTTGATTCCTGGTACTGGAAAAAGAACAAAACAAAACAAACAAACAAAAAAAAGAACTAGAAGACAGGGTTGTTGTCAGTGATCAATTATGGAAAGATAGAGATAACTTGAAAACAACAAGAGAATATGAAAAATAGATCTGCAAGCTGCCAGATCACACAAGATTAATCTAAGATTAATTGGAATTTGTGAAAAATCAGAAGACAGTACAAATTGCATTAAAAACCCACTTACTGAAATAATAGAAGAAAAATTTTCCAAATATGGGAAAAGAATTTAACATACAGATGAGTAAGACATTGAGCCCCAAATAGACATGATCAGAAAAAAATTCTCCACAACACATCATTGGCAAATCCCAAAAGTCTAACATAGGAATAGAATCTTAAAAGGGGATAGAGAAGAGCAATGGATCACTTCTAAGGAAAATCTGTTAGATATACAGCATACTTTTCAACACAAATCTTAAAGGCCAATAGAGCTTGGAGTGAGGTGTTTCATGCTTAAAAAGAAAACAATTCCAACCTGGGTAGATAAATTCTGCAAAACTATTTTTCAAAATTGATGGGAAAATAAGGTATTTCTATGGGTTTGTATTTCTAAAGTTTACAAATCAGGTATTTCTAAACCTTAAGAAATCCATCCAGACCAAACCAGCATGCCAAGAAAATTCTTAATGATGTTCTGGAAAGAGGAAATGAAGCTAACGATGGAAAACAGCTCAATAGAGTGAATATACCAGGTAGGGTGAGCAGTTAAATAGAAAAACAGGGAATCAGCAACAGGAAAATAAGGCAGTTATAGGTGCATGTCAATAAATTTCAGTGATAACTGTCAGTAAGAATTGTCTCAATTCCACAATCAAAAGACACAGATTGACAGAATGGATCAAGAAACAAACTCCAATAATATGTTATATACTATATTCAAGTAAATACACATTTAACTTGAAAAGAAAGTTATTGACTAAAAATCAAAGGATGAAAACAATATTCCATAAAATGAGAAACCCCCTGACAAACAAGAGTAGTTGTCTCATTTTCAGACAAAGTAGACTTTAATCAAAACTGATCAGAAAAGGCAAAGGTTACTACATACTGGTTAAGGGAACAATTCAACAGGAAGTGATAACAATTTCTTATGGTTTGTGTCTGGATGAACCCCCAAATCTTCATGCAGTCATCAGGTAGGCTTGTAGATTTATGATTCATTCATGGTTCAATGTTGGAATTATGGATGTGAGTGCTACACTTGCCCTCCGGTGGGTAGTTTGCACACAATGTAAGGGAGGGAAAGAGGCTGGCTCTTCCAGCTGCTGCTCCTCCCATGTGCTCTTGTTGCTTTTGCCATCTTCTACAGCCATGAACTGTTGTCCTTTGCCATGTGCCACTCTACCTTGGAGCCAGCTGAGCATGGACTGAAATTTCCACAAACTGTGAGTTAAATAAACCTTTCCTTCCTTAATTTTGGGTGTCAGATATTTTGTCTCAGCAATGAGAGGAAAGTAACCAAGACACAATTATAAACATATAATCACCAAGCAACGCACCCAACTTCATTAAACAAACACTACAGGACATAAGAGGTCAGATAAACAGCCATGTAATTAGAGTAAGGAACCTCAAAACACCACTATCACAAATAGGCAGATCAACTAGACAAAAAAAACAACAAAAATATCTGAGTTGAACCAAACCATTGAATAAATGGACTTAACAGATATCTATAGAGTATTCAACTCAACATTAGATTACCCATTCTTTTGAGCAGCACATGGAAAATATTTCTCAAAAATAGATCACACTGTAGCCGATAAAGTAAGCTCAAGTAAATGTAAAAGAATTGAAATCATACCATGCATATTATCAGATCATATGGCAATGAAACTAGAACTAAATGGCAAAAGAAATTACCAAACATAGGCAAATACATGGAAATTAAACAATATATTCTTAAATAATCAATGGGGCACAGAAGAAATACAGAAACAAATAAGTTCCTAGAATTAAATGATAATGCCAGTACAACATACCAGGACTTTGGGGACAGAGTGTACTGAGTTAATAATATGCCTCAGTTATTGTGGGCTGATCAGGTCCACAATCTCACAAAGGAGTGTATGGCAAACGCTAAATAAAAAGAGGAAAACTGATTGACTTCAGGGCTCCAAGGGGATCAAATCTATCTCACAGAATTTGAGATTCTCTCAAGGCTAAGACCAAGGCCTTCTCTGGGTGACCCACATTTATTTAGTTATCAGAAGAAGGGAGGGGAGTACTCAAGAAGAATGGAACCACTCAAGGACTTCTCAAAGTAAGGTATTAAATTAATCCACCCAAGGAATGAGGTGCCTGAGGCTACAGTCTGTCTAGTTGAGACTAGATCCAAGTGTCATCTGCTGTGATTTTTGTCTTATTCTTTGAAGCTTTCCAGCTTTATCCACCATTATGGGCCTTAGTAGGGGTTAGTAGCTCACAGAGTTTCACTTACTGAGTTCACTGCCCATCTCCAGACAAGGAGACTAGGCCTCGGACAGACTCATCAGTAAACATAAAAAGCCAGTTGGCTAGTTTAAGTCCTGCTCAGGGCTGCTACACAGTAGTCTCCATCAGTTCCTCCTTTTTGTTTTTGTAATTGTAGCAATTTAAACATGACTAGCATTGTCGGGTTTGGCATTCTCTGTAGAAGACTAAGAACAGAAGTAAAAGGTACAAGCATGTTAATATCATCAGTCCATTGTAGAATCCATGATTGTCTATTGGCAGCAAATTTCACTACTGGTGCGAAGATCTCATCTCTCTATGGCCACATGTTCCAAAATGGCATCCATAATGATGATTTATGACAAGTTATGAATTCACTTTACGAGGTGGATCTGGTGGATCCTGGTAGAAGGAATCTAGCATATTTACCGTTGGTTTCATCTGTATAGTTTCTTAGAGTTTGGCAGCCTGTAGGCAAGAATAGCCAATATTTTGGAGGAGTTAGTATTACTATGGTTTTGTTTTATACATCTGGTGGTTATACTTTTCTGCTGGATGTTCAACACCAAGTTAAAGTGAGACCTGTATTAATTAAAGTTAACTTCTTGCTATCAAGGTCAGATAAATCTTCTCAGAATTTACCCTGCAAGTTGCTTTCTTTGAAAGCTTGGGAGATATTTTTCTCCTGGTGACTCTTGTTAGGCACACTGTACACCATAGAATCACTTTCCTCTGTGGTCCCACAGTCTCCTTGATCAGAAGATCAGGGACTCAACTAAGTTATAGGATGTTGCAGCAGAGAT